CTTAACAAATCCAACGGGTTAACCAACTACTTATTTACGGTCACGGCACTATACGGCGTCGTCACTATAATTTTTAGAAAGATCAGTACTTCTCGGGTGTCGGGAGTCAAGAGTGGTCAAGAGGCGGCATTTTTAGCTTTCCATCAATTTATGCTTTTTCGGTAAAGAAAGATAGAAGACTAGTACGACAAAGTGGGGATACCACTACTACAGCCGACTGTTTACAATTCAGAAATACAAAAAATGTCCTTCTTGTACCTTGACAATTAAAAGTAGATAATTCATACGAAATCGACTCTAAAAATGCCCATTCGGATTTCGGCAAATAAAAGAATATTTTAACCTACGAGGGTACTCGCAATTGTTGAAAATCGGTCATTTTTGGGAAACAGAAATACGGGGGAACTTCTACATGTTCTCAGGCGGGAATTAATTGAAATATACATTTTTAAGATGAATTAAAAATAAAATTTAGTGACTTCGTCACATACCCATCTGATGCTTGGTCCTGCAAAGTTCATCTTCAGTACACCTGCTTATGTGACATCTATCTTGATGTCAAGTTTGATTGAACACTCGTCACAGCTAGCACAAAAATATCCCATCTACGTTAATAAGCTGCAATTTTAGGCTCTTTAAGCTCGCATGCAATGTACTGTAAATGTAACCCTATTATCCCTGCAACTACCGAATATCCGCAACGACAAGCCTTTTATAGCACATCTCGTAGAAGTTATAAAGTGAAGTTCGGAAAACATCACACTAGCACTTTTGCGGTACTTACCCCGAAAGTTGCTCTGAAACTTTCTATAGACGTTATAATGTGAATTCCTTCTACAGCATTATACAGTGTGTCCACGGATGGACTTAACAATACTTGTAAAAATATTTATTTTAAATTTTAAAGTACTTCTTCATAATTTCTTTTGCTTGTTAAATAAATACGATTAACGTTGAGAAATTATGAAAAATACCTCTTTTTAAAAATTTTAAATAAATATCATTACAAGTATAGTTATGTCCATCCTTGGATACACTATATTCAAAATAGTATATTAAGGATATAGTAAAATCTGAAGGAAACAAAATAAAAAAATTGTATAAATTTATTATTAAAAAGCTATTGAAATCAAATACCAATATCATACAAGTAGAGGTAGATTCTTGCCTATTACTCTTATACTTAACCAGAACTAGCTTAGACTCGAACGCATATGTTTAATTCGGCCAAAACACCGCCTTGGTACACAAATATCTATTTTACCGCTGGTTTCATTACAAAAAACTGGAGTAAAAGGTAAAATTATCTCTTGTCCAGTCACTCGTATACACTTGAGTATAAGCCTATATTATTTTTGAATGAAGACGTATACATTTAAAAATGTCGTTTACTTAAAAATAAACATTTAATTTTGATATTTTATTTAACTCCATCAAAACATTAAATTATTATTTTCCATTTATATATATATTCATTATATATATTCATTAGTAATATACGTTTTATAAATGCATCGTGTTACATATTTGTTGACATAAAGAGATAGAAATTTAAAGTGACGTCCTGTATAACTTCGGATGAAAAAATCGATAAAAAAATCGAGATTATATGTCAAACGAAATTGTACTTTGCCTTAACATTTAATGTTAAAGTGAATAAAAGTTGTTATTGTGTTTTAAACCAGCGTATTTCAATTTCCATTGATTTTTTACGGGGAGAAGAAAAAAAATTTATAATTAGTAAAACCCGCAAGAATTTAAATATGATTCATCCTTTACAATATAGAGGGTGAGATCAGGTACATTTAACGTCTCGTATTTTTTATTCGTAGACAGTAAAGAATGGAAAAAAATAATTATGTAATGACTGCAATTATTATGCTTATACTTAATTTGGTTGTAGACTCTGTAGATATATATGAATGGCAACGTTATAAAAATGTTCATTCAATCTGTCATAGTATTAAAGACCACAAAAAAAACAAAAAAAATGTTCACTTTGTTTTATTAAAATTCTTTAACAGTAAATACATTCAATATACAATAACAAAACGAAATCACAGATAAAAATAATTTCTATATTTTCCATTTGAGTTTCGAAACTCTAAAAATATTTCTTTAAAAATTAAAATACAAACTAATAATTTATCAAATATTTACATAAAATTATTTTTTTTTGTCAAATATTGACTATATAATTAATTGGAATGTAAGTTAAATATCACAAATGTTTCTATATACTATTTTATGACTAGATTTATCTTGGGTACATTTGAACTACTTGCCTTATTTTTGTTAAAAATATATTAAATGCTTCAGTTATTTAATGTAGTTCCAAAGATTGTCAAGATAAAGGAAGCCTTCCAAATATCTTAAGTAATAAAACATTAAAATACTTTTACCCTGTTTACTATACTTATACTTTTATTTAAAATAGGTTTTTTAGATGCGGTATGACTAGAGCGATCAACATGAAAATATGAAGAATCAAAATACAATTATTTTTATTTACAACTCTACAAAATATCTATAATTTTTATATTTATAAAATTCGCTAGGCACTTCAATCACTACAATGTTTTCTATCGGGGACATACAAAATCAATATTATTAAATAAACCCGTAATACATTTTTATTGTCTTATTTAATATAAAACAAATCAAATACTGATTGCAGAAAGAGTACAAGTCATGTTTTGGTTGATTTTGATTGAACCTATCCAGTAAAATGACAACATTGCCGTTGCCGATCTTGAATCGATCTTATATTAGATCGATTCTTTGGGGCTAATTGATTCTTTCTGGCTCGATTTAATCGAATATCGATCTTTTTACAAGCGTTTTTTAGAATCAAGAATCAATGGACTGTCAAAGTTTGACGTCATTATGATTTTTATACTTATAATATTGGCATCTATTATTTTCGGCATTATTAATTATCAACTTCAAATAATAATAATAATGCGTTTTTAGGACAGGCAAACGCGTGCGCTTCGCATATTGCGCGTGATCAATGAGATCATATTTTTTGGGGATGGCTAAACACAGAACCTGACCTCAGTTCAAACTTCAATTTAGCATTGCTTAATTGAACAACTGAGACAGTGTTAGTGGTTAGTGTGCTTATTTTGCCTTGCAGAACAACATTAATAAGTCAATTTAAAAATTAAAAATTTAAAAGTTGTTCTTCATGATCAATATTTGTTAGTCCGATTTGATTGCGAATCGATTCTTTTGCTTTTGATTCAGATCGATCCCAAAATCGATATTTGTAATTTGTACGTAGCGAAGAGTACAAGCTGTGTGAACGTGATACAGGTATAGCAGGGGCAGAAGTTTGTAAGGCTTTTGGTAGATGGAAGTGGGGTAAACGTCAAACCACGTCGGACGACTTCGAGAATTTCGAGGTAATGTTTATCTGCCAGTGGTATTTCAAAAAATAAGTAATTTTAAATTGTTACCGGCGGAACCGGACAATCGCATGTATTTATGAATTAGAAATAATTATTAAACAAGTATTATAATATCCCAAATCATAATTTTACAAAATTTCAACACCTATTCACTATTTATTAAACTATTTACCCGAAATTGTTATTAACATCTATAAAATAATTTTGTACGCCAATGTATCGCGTCCACTTCGGTTAGATCCGCTGCAAAACTGTCAATTTCTGTGTATGAAGTGGAAAGCCTTTCCAACGTCTGTTCCTGCTATAATATCTTCTACCCTAACCGGCCAACTTGTTTAGCGGAGTTGTCGAATTTCTTCATTAAATGTCATCAAGTGTGGAAAAAGTTTACTAACATTTGTTTTTTTTTAAATCATACCAACTAGTATCTTTTTGAAATCAGCATCATGATTCAATTCTTAAATTGATTAGTTGATGATCTGACATTTGAAAATGAAAAGTTTCAATAAGAGCTCGTATCTAATTCAGACAAACGAAAAAATACTGATAGAAACAGATGGAAACATATTAATATATAGACTCTCTAGGTTCAAAATTATGAGGGGTCTGGCCTACAGTGTGTGTCAAAAAGTTGGATCGATATGGGATTTTTTTTTAATATTTTGTCTGGAAAAAACATTTTAGTTTTTAACATTTTTTGATACACCCCTGAAACTGACAATTTTGCGTTTATTAAAAAATCTTAAAAATGACGAAAACTTTGATATGGGCTATTTTAAGTTTTTAAATAAGCAGAGGTAATTGCCCTACGAAGATTTTCCAATCGTAATATTAAAAAAATCTTATATGGATCCAACCTTATGGAACACACTGTATAATAAAATTTTCTCGGACCAACCCCTTAGGAGATTACACTCCCGAAAAGATGTGAGTAAAGTTGGGATTGAATATTAGAAATTTTAACTATTATTCATAATTCCTGTTTAATTTGTTAACTCTTTATTTCTTGTTTTCTATAAGTTTTCGAGGAAAACAAAATAAAATACAAATTCAAAACCATACATGCCACTGTATTTTAATTTTTTGTCCAAAAACTATTAAGTAGTTTTGTGGAAAAAAGCAAGGAAAAAAGAAGTTAACAAATGAAACAGGAATTATGAAAAATATTTTTAATTTATAAAATTCAACTCGACAAAAGAATTCTAACAAAAAATAAAATAATGGTTATTAGTTTAACCCCCTTATAATATAATTAAAAAATACTCCTAATTGCCTCTTTACGAGTGTCTATCTTCAAAATTTCTACATCAACCCGGATTTGAGAAAAAAATAAAAACCCAATTTTATTTCAATTTTTCGGGGCTAAAATATTTCTTAAGGAGTTGGGCTGAGAATATTTTGTTACAGGACCGAAAACACCCTGTATACGCCAGAACAGCAGTGTATTATTTCATAATAATTCTTTAGTATATTTGTCAATATCAATTTGATGGAACATCTGGACAGTCTCAGTGATCTCCAAACCTACCACCTCTATTCGATTATTTGCTGAAATTTTTGAGTCTCCACGAAAATTAAAAAAAAAAAAAAATCTAGGGTATTTCGAAAAGCCATTTTGGGTTAAAAAATCCTATCTACAGTCTAAATAACAAATAATTATTCTAAAAAAGGAGTGCTGTTTATCCGCTGAGTATAACCAATAGACATTTTACATTTAGATTGTCGACCACAAGTGAAAATTGCATCAATTTGGAAGCCCCATAATTTTCAAGATCTAGGTAACTATTTAAAAATGTTTTGCAAACGCGGATGAGAATCTTGTTTCGTTCCATACTTACAACCCCGAGCTTACAAAAACGAACAACTCATTATCAAAATCAGCACCAATATCGGAAAAATAACGTAAATCTCCATTCTAGGCTCGCAAATACTAGTAAGAAAAGTGATATCATCAGCTTCGTGCTCGATACCATCCCTAGTAGGAACCTCTACTATCACGCTTTCCCCTCCCATCAACTGCAAAGGAAACTTACACACGGTTTGATTAATACATTCCTTTCCGCTACTGCTATTTTTGAATCCGTAAGTAGGCTTGTAAATATCGAATACTGCGTGCATATCGTTCTTAACGAAATCATTATCGGAGTAAAATATGTAATAGTAGTACCCGTCCGAGGCCACCGTATGTTCGGTAACCATGTGGTTGCTGTGGTACAAGTACTCGATGTTGTTACATAGTTGGCTGGGTTGGAAGCTGCGGGATAGTAAAATTTTGCCGTCGTAGCAAGTGAGCAGGTTCGTTTCGAAGCTGGATACGTCACCTTCGAAACCGAGTACGGTGGAGTTCATGGCGTTGCCGCCATGTTTGATATGCGAGTCTAGCGGGGAGACGCTGCGTTTTGGACGTTCAATGGGGGCATCTACAAAAGAAAAAAATGTTTTAATGTTAAAATCTACTTAGAAATTTATGGGGGTTGATCTAAGGATTCTACACTCTCTATTAGAATTGGCCAATCCCGTCTAGTATCCCAGCTAGCACATAACGTCTTTCGGCGATGTTGTTAAAAGAATGGCGGATAAATCGTTGTAAACCAAAAATATTATATTGTAGGTTTACCTTTCTGTTGAGTTTTAAATGGATGATAATTCTAGGCAAAAACTCAAGAATTTGAAAAGCAAAAGTAAATACTATCGAACTGGTTAATGAAGAATATATAACACCTGAAATATTAGAAAAAGTGAATCTATAGTTGGTACCTGGTACGTATATATTGAAAGAAAAAGTTAAAAGGGTTGATTTCAAATGACCTGCTTCTACAGGTAAAAAATCAAGAAACTCGGTTATCCTCTAGTATATAGTCATTGCTGAAATCGTCCCATTATTGTTCACCGATTTAGCTTTAGCATCGTTCACCTGTTAATGAGATAAAAATCTAGTGAACCTTTGAAATATACTTTATATAAATATAATATCTATTTACTTTTGTACAATCCTTCAGTGCGAATTTATGGTAGGGGAAGCAAAAGACTAGCGCTAGTGTAAAATGTGAAATCTGTGACTTCAAATATCATCCATCGTGTGCACAAAGAGTAAATGCTATCATAAGATGCTGTAAACCAAAAGTTATTGAAAAATCTAAGACTATGGATCAAGAAAAAAGTAAAGGTGATTTATTTTGCATTGATGCTTACAACTTTTTAAAATTACTAGTAGAAGAACAAAAATTAGCAAACCAATTAATGAGTTAAAAAATAGAAATCTTAAAAGTTGAACTTAAAAATGAAAAAACGAAATATTCTGATCTGCAAACACAATATAACGAAATAAATCCCTAAATTTATAAGAGTTGACAATAAAAATCAAAACTTATCTATCAGTGATAATAAAAGCCCAGTTTTTATGGAAAAACCAAAACAAACAAAAACTGAAAGTGTGAGTATACCTGTTGGAAATAAACATTTAATACCAAACAAAAATACAAGCGATTATAGGAATGCCCCTGTACAGGATGACTCACTCCTCCAAAGGAAACAAGTTGCATTAGAACTAATGAAAATTCAAACCCTACAAAAAACTAATGAAATAATAAATCTAGCAGATGATACGAAAGAGGGGAATGAGAATGATTATATCACAGTAACAAGACGGCAAAGGAGAAAAAACAAAACAATTATGGGAAGTAAAGAAGGTGATGATGAATTTAAACGAAGGGAAGAATCAAACAAAAAAATTTGGATCTTTGTATCTGGAGCATCAGACACTGTAAATGAAGAGAATGTTAAGAAATACATTCATAAACGCACAAACGCAGAAGACATTTATGTGAAGAAACTAGACACATATTTTGTTAGACAAAATAATCAAGCTTTTCTAGTGGGAATAGATCCTCATTTTCAGGAGCAAGTATATAAATCAGATTTTTGGCCGAAAAATATAATTTATTCCCAATTCAACTTTAAACAAGGTCAGCGATTTCTTGAAGATTCACATAACCAGAGATCGCATAAGAGTGAAGAAAATTTTTCAAACCTAGCCTTTACTTCAAACCTCAAGGACTACTATGGAAAACCACTTTTTGAAAGAAAATATGAATTACTATTTTGCAGTTCCCAACAGTTAAATATTACTTTAATGCATATTAATATACAGGGAGGTTTTGCCAATAAATGCTTTGATCTAAATTTAATTTTACAGAAACAAAATGTAAGTATTCTATGTATTACCTCAATTGAAGATTTTAAGCTAGTATCATATTTTTCAGGGATAAATAAAGAAAAAGGTGTTGCTAGTATATTTATGAAAACAAGTATTGCTGCAAATTTTGAATCAATTAATTTACATAGGTGGTGTATAGAAGGTGAATTTGAAGTATGTGGTGGAAAAATAAAGATCGATTCTAAACTTTTTTTATTTATTATTACTGTGTATAAGCCACCTTGTACTAAGTTTAGCACTTTTATAAATCAGCTAGAGCTATTAATTCATAATATTTATCAAAATACCAATCACTATTTTATCTGTGATGATATTAACGTAGATTTTTTGATTGAAGGCAATCAAAAAACTGTTTTAATTGACTTATTGAAGGAATTTAATATTAAACATCATATAAATGTTGCAACGAGAACAACAAGTAGACCCTCAACTTGTTTAGATAATTTTTTTTACCAATTTTGAAGTAGATAAGGTGGGTGTATATGATACTTTTTTGTCTGATCATAACTACTTATTATGTTCGATTAAACTACCTAATTTTGAAAATAACGAATTTAAATACAGATACAAACGAGATTTAAGTGATCCTAACGCAATAACTTTTATAAATATTTTATCAGTTGAAAATTGGCGTGAAGTATACACATCTACTAAGTATAATGATAAATTTTCTATCTTTTATGAATCATTCCTATACTACTACAATATTGTATTTACGAAAACAAAGAAAGCGATAAAACCACAAAAATTAAAAAAATCAGTTTCCACCTCATATTAAAGAGTTACATAATCTATTATGTGAAATGAACAGGTTAAAGAAAGAAATAAATTCTACATATTATACAGAACGTTAGAATAACTTAAACAAAGAGTATCAAAAAATAACAAAATATTTGAGAAGAAAAAATAACGATCGTATTTTAAAAAGTAATAACGTAATGAAGGAATCCTGGAATATAATAAACGAGAGTAGGGGAAAAAGAAAAAACAACTTATTCAAATTAATACCCTTAGAAAAAGTAAATTATATCAATGACTATTTTATTAATGTAAATAAAAATAATATTGTACCTAACTATACTATGAGTATTGATAAACATCATAAAAGTTTGAATATCCACATCGCATGCATCTGAGATGTGAATTTTTTATCACGTGATAGTGAATTAGATCTGAATGCAGATGTAATAAACGCTCTAGACTTTATTGGTCACGTGATAAAATAACAATGACAAGTTAGAAGTTTATATTTTTTAAATTTGACTTTTGAGACTGGAAAACAACCTAAATTTATATTTCTAAACAAAAATTAAACACACTAATCACTTTTATATTGCTAGCTTAAGAGCAATCCAGTCCCTTCTGACGTCACACCGCACGAATCTCACGACCTCCCCTTAAAGTATTTGGAACCTTGTTCGCTACATAAATTTGGCAATGTTGTGTACCGTGCGCTGAAGGATAATCATATTGGGTAGGGTCCGATTACAATTCAGGTATAATTCGTTGGCTATCGCCGCCTACTGGGGGTTAGTGGCTTGTTAATATACGAATGTAGGAATACTATTTTTAAACCAAACAACTCGAATATTTTTTATTTATTGATAGTTATAGATGATGTATAGGGTGTCCCGAAATTGGACGGTCATATTTTAACAGCGTAATCTACATCCTAAAATAGTAGTAAAAGTTCATATAAACATAGGTCCGAAAACTTTTCTTTTCCGAGATACAGGGTGTTAAAGGTGAAGTCCTGATACTACACTTTTGTAAATATTTTCAAAACGTTTAAAGATAATTAGGTAAAATTTGTTACAAATACTTACCTTTTTACGCTTCATTTATTGGACAAACCCCAGTTATTGATCATCTTCTTAGGTGGGTAAATTAGGGGGAGCTTAGGGTAAAATTGCCATGTATGTCTGTGTGTCTATATCCACCATAACTCATGAACCGATACACAGAAAAACACTAAATTTTAAACTTAAGTTTTATTTCGGCTGACGTGAAATTATTAGATTTTGGACAAAGTCGGAACATCTGGGGGGGGGTACTTTATGGGAGGCCGTTTTTATATTTTATTGAATATATCTGTTATTTATGTTTGGAGAAGAAAATTATTCAAATAAAAGTTACTTCTAATATTATCTATAATTTTTGCTTTATGTCAAAATTTCCTGAAATGGTCCGTATTCGAGAAATTTGACAAAATGTGCAAAATTCTGATTTTTATGAAAATTGTTGAACTAAAAGTTGTTTTCGATATCGATCTCTATAATTTTTGTTTATACATGATTTTTCTAAAATGGACCGTAATGGAAAAATTGTAGGAAAATTGCTAAATTTAAATTTTTCAGTATTTTCGTTTTCAATGAATAACTCTATAGAAACATATTTCGAGGTAGATGTATGTGGAAAATGTATATATTTAGTTTATCCTCTAAACATTTATAGAGGTACTGCAATAAGTTGTACAAAATAACCTTACAAAGTCATGTGTTGGACACATCAGATTTTTTGACTATAAAATTTGGAAAACCAATAGTTTCTGTATAATAAAGCTACATTTGTTGCATCTCGCTAGGACGCGCCATTTTCAAGAGAAAAGCATGTTACCTTATTCGAAAGTGTAAACAATAATTAGTAGGTCTGTAGAATTAGAAATTTTATTTTTTTTTTAACTTTGAAAAACCGTAACTAATGAAATTTTAGAAAATATTTACAAAAATGTTTCATCTGAACTTCACTTGTAACACCCTGTATATCGAAAACGAAACGTTTTCGGACCTATGTTTATATAAACTTTTACTCCTATTTTTAACCGACTTCATAAAAGGAGGAGGGAGGTTCTCAATTCGTCGCAATATTTTTTTAAATTTTTTTTTATGTATGTTTAGCGATAATGCTTTACCACCTCGTCCGATTTATATGATTCTTTTTGGTAGTAAGGGGGTACCTCAGGGGTGATCCTATATAAATTTGGTTAAGATGTGGTGACGGCATCTGCACGTTTTTGAATTCGGTTTTTTTTTAATTTTTAATTTCTAATACTTGTAGGATGTAGATTACGCTGTTAAAATATGACCGTCTAATTTGGGGACACCCTGTATATTGGAAATTCGAAATAATAGTTATGACGTAGCGGTGTTTTTCTAATTGTAATCGGACCCTAGGTATATGGATACGGAAAGTAATGAATTGGAG